TTTGTTAGCATTTACACAAGACCCATTCTTTGCAAGTTCCAAACTTTACAAACATTAAGGTTGCAAATAAACCCCCCTGTAAAACTTCTGTTTTTCTTTTTTTCAACGTTTTTTATTTATTTTTGGGACAGAGAGATACAGAGCATGAACGGGGGAGGGGCAGAGAGAGAGGGAGACACAGAATCGGAAACAGGCTCCAGGCTCCGAGCCATCAGCCCAGAGCCCGACGGGGGGCTCGAACTCACGGACCGCGAGATCGTGACCTGGCTGAAGTCGGACGCTTAACCCACTACGCCACCCAGGTGCCCCTAAAACTTCTGTTTTAAGGCCAAGAATCATTATTATAATTATTATTTTTTTTTTGTATGCATCACTAACTGTTGACTTTCTGCTTGGGGCTACTTTCCCCACATATGACGTTTTATCAGTTAAAATTATGTGAGGTTGACTGGAGAACACGTATGGCACTTGCAGAGGAGGCCCTTGAGTCCACTAGTTTACCTGCCATCTAAGTGGTCCTGAAGGTTGCTAGCCATGTGGGAGAGAGACAAATTATTGTATCATCAAACTTAAGGTCAATTGAGATAATAGCTTTCAATATAAAATCTAAGAATGCTGTACTATAGTATATGAAAAAAATCACATCTCTATATTTTTAACATACATATTTGGCAATATCTCTCTTTCCAAACAATACAAAGATCTTAGAAATAAGTCCATTCACCCCTTGCATCTTCCACGTTATTGTTTTCTAGTATTATTGTCCCCCTTCTTTTGTATCACTTTGCCTCATAATTAGTCATTAACATGTTTGTATCAAAATTGGTCATTAATGTGATTAGAAGGACTGTGATCTTTATTCTAAGAGCAGTGGGAAGCGCTTACTTCCAAAAAACAGAGAGATGACAAAATCAGATGTGCATTTTTAATTTTTTTTAAAGTTTATTTATTTTTGAGAAACAGAAACAGAGCAAGAGTGGTGGAGGGACAGAGAGGGAGAGAGAATCCCAAGCAGTCTCCAGGCTCCTAGCTGTCAGGACAGAGCATGACACAGGGCTTGAACACTTGAACCACAAGATCATGACCTGAGCCAAAGTTAGATACTTAATTGAGTGAGCCACCCAGGCACCCCTCAGATATGCATTTTTAAAAGGTCACTCTTAGAAGCATTGTAGGAAACGTTGGTTTGAAGGGAGCAGTTAGTAAAGGGAGACTGGTCAGGCAGCTAATACAGAACTTCAAAAATTAGGTAAAAGTGATTTGGGTGGCAGTTGTAGTAGAGACTAAGACTAGTTATAGAAAGACTAAGGTGTTTTTCTCCAGCATCTCCTCTCCTAATGACTGAGACTCTAGATGGGCAGTCAACCTACTCTCTTTAAAATATAAACCCCATATTCCCTTCTGACAGTGCAGAGAGGCAGAGCCTTTACTCTGCAATGATAGTGACTCCTCTGTTTTCTAAGTGTCCCCTGAGGCAGACATCATTACACCTTTTAAAAGATTCATTTAGGGGTGTCTGGGTGGCTCAGTTGGTTAAGCATCCGACTTTGGCTCAGGTCATGAGTTCAAAGCCCTGCATCGTGCTCTGTGCTGTCAGCTCAGAGCCTGGAGCCTGCTTCAGATTCTGTGTCTCCCTCTCTCTCTGCCCCTCCCCGCCTCACACTCTATGCCTTTCTCTCTCAAAAATAAATAAGCATTAAAAAGAAAATTTAAAAAAGATGTTTAAAAAAATAAAAAAATGAAAGATTCATGTAATAATATCTACTTCATGGTTACAAAGTTTTAAAGGGATAGATTATTTGAAAGGTCTTTGGAAACTATAATCATTTTATTATGCTTATGAAACAGCAAAATGCACAAACCCTAACTAATATCCCTCCATCAATATTTATTCATCAAACACTTCCTTTGTGTTTGACCCTGTGCGGGGCATCATGGAAAAACTAAACGAAATTTGTGCACATATTAGTGTGTGATTTAAAGAAGTGTTTAAATGTAAATAAAATTAAGGGAACACTAAAAATAATGAGGCGGATGTAGACCTTAGACTCCAAACATAGATCATGTTTCTGTTTTAAATCTTTGAGAACTGTGCTGAGTTAACCTTGAAATACAATTCATCTCCTCTTGATTTTTTATTTAGAAGTGTCGATTGCCCTAGGGAGTGAATTATCATCTTGTGAGTGAACTTGAGAAGTTTCTGGTAGAGATTTCCCAGCAGTTGGAACCCAGCTGATTACTATATCTGCCCAATGTCATGGCCAGATCCTCATGTTTATGTTTCATTGTAATCCAATTGGGTAAACACAATCTTAAAGGTTTACAGATAGCAGAGGTTCCAAGAGCCTTAATTTCTTTTTGTATTTTTCTTCCTGTAATGGAAGATTCTGCTCACAGGAAAAAATGAACAAATAGATTATATTCTCAGTAAAATCATTCCAAACTCATCTAAACTGTCTCTGGTTCCTTCTCATTTCTGCCACAGCCTTCCTAATCTAGACCAGGTTGTTACTGAGAGCGCATTTACTTGTCCTTTATGAAAACACTATTTGTATTATCACTGAGTCTGTGGTGCTGCAGTTAGGTCTGTGTTCCAATGAATATATATGGTCAAACTTCCATAAAGCAAATACATTTTGGGGGAAAAACTAAAGTAAACTTTTTGTTTCTCACTTATGGAATGTCAGACGATTTGTGAATAGAGTTGATTATATACACTCATCTTTATTTGACCTAAATTTCATTTTAGAATTTGCTGAAAGAGTTCAGTCATGGTATAAAAGGTATTATGGATTAATATTTTTGAAATTATCAAAAGAAATTTATGTGCAGAGAAGGTATCAGAAGATATGTATTTTAGTTCTTGTTTTTGTACAAATCCCAAATGTCTCAAAAACCTTAAAAAGACTATCAGGAATCATCGTGCAAAAACACTGGGACCATGCCTTGGGGTTTTGATTTTAGTCTAAAAGCAATTGTGAGCCCCTATAGACTTTTTTTTTTAAATTTTTTTCAATATATGAAGTTTATTGTCAAATTGGTTTCCGTACAACACCCAGGACTCATCCCAACAGGTGCCCTCCTCAATACCCATCACCCACCCTCCCCTCCCTCCCACCCCCCATCAGCTCTCAGTTTGTTCTCAGTTTTTAAGAGTCTCTTATGCTTTGGCTCTCTGCCACTCTAACCTCTTTTTTTTTTTCCTTCCCCTCCCCCATGGGTTCCTGTTAAGTTTCTCAGGATCCACATAAGAGTGAACACATATGGTTATCTGTCTTTCTCTGTATGGCTTATTTCACTTAGCATCACACTCTCCAGTTCCATCCATGTTGCTACAAAGGGCACTGTTGGTGGGAATGCCCCTATAGACTTTTAAACAGAGGGAACATGTGATGAGATGCATTTTTTTAGAAAGATCACTTACTTTTTTAGTTCTGTGAAGGATAATTTGAAGCGATGAAACTAGAGCTCCATGGGTGAGCTGGGAATTTACTATGATAGTAACATAAGAAATGATGATTGTTCAACTAGGGCAATGAACTGAGATTAAGGAGTAGATTTAGGAGATAAAGGTGATAAAAATTCGGTGACCAGCTGGTTAGATGATAGACAGAGAGAGGGAATGGATTATGATTTTTAGCAATAGGAATGGAGAAGGGATGGAGATGAGAACATATCAGAAAAACTGAAAGATGTTTTTTTCTCCCAGTGTAGCAAGGAAAATTGTGATCTCAACAAAATTGTGGGCCTACTTGGGAAGACGTTTTGTTGTATGTGTTGTTCAAGAACCACAAATTATATGCCAGCAATTCCATAAACCATTATATTTTCATTATATTTTATTGTACATATCACAGATACATATTCATTTTGATGGCAAACAAATGTTTCTGCATAAAAAATAATTTTATAACCCGTTGTAATTTTAGTGTAAAGGATAAAATTCCTCTGGTAGCTAAGTTGCAAAAAGTTTTGCTCTACAACATTAACGTTGTTGTTGTTGTTGTTGTTGTTGTTGTTGTTGTTATTGTTGTTGTTGTTTTTAAATAAAGGAAAGGGAAAGGGAATACAAATTTTCCATTCACACAAACAGAAGACAACTTTATCACAAACTACCCATTGAATTTATTTTTTCTTAAGTTTAAAAATTTGTCATTTGAATGTTAAAAAGAAAAGAGGGGCCATAGGGCTATTTTAGGAAGAAATTAGGAACTTTCCCATTGCAGAAAATTACAAGGTCCCTGAAGGGTAGTTTTTGATGTTTTTCTTTCTTTTGCTGCTAAGTACAATAGCTTGACAAAGCAAATGAATTCTTTTTCCATTGAAACCAGTAAGTTCCTACCATCTGCATTTCCATTAAGTGATTTGTCCAGACTCTGGTTATTTCATGAATAATCCACAATGAAATCCTTTTACATCTTTTCTGTTTTAAAAATTCCTTTTCTAAAGCATTACATGCCACTTCCCTAACACCTGCTCAGTATTATCCTGTGCTCTGTCCTAAGCAAAAGCTTTTGTTCTCTGTTTAAGAAATACCTACTTATGGCTAGCTCCCCACTTTCTATTCTTTTTTTTCTCCAAAATTTTCTCTCAAGCTACTTTCTTCATTTGGTTCAAGATTCACTTGGACATCATCTCCTCCAAGCACCAATGCTTGGGCCTAATGCACCCACTTTGTGTGCTCCATAGCACCCTATGAATGGTTCTATCATTTTGCTTCACTCTCTTTTACTGAAATTATCTAAATAGACCTCCTTCCCATGGAATTGAAATTCTTTATGGCAAGTTGCTGTATAAAACCTGATACAAAACTGTACTGATACAAACGGTACTGGTATCACAGCATCAGCCTTTGTCTTTAATCATTAAGGTAAAGTCTGATAGTGAAAAACCTTTTAGTTTTTCTTCATCTGAGAATGTTTTTATTACCCCTTAGTTCCCGAGGATAGTTTCACTAGGGATAAAACTCAAACTCATGATTGACTGTTCTTCTATTACAGCATTTAAACAAACATTGTGTCACTTCCTAATGACCACCATAGACTCAGGTAAGCTGTCATTTTTTTTTTTTTGACTCATTTTAAGATATTTTCTTTGCTTTAGTTTCAGAAGTTTAATTATGATGTGTCTTGATGTGGATTTCCTCAACTTCATGAATCTGTAGGTTTGTTTCTTTTGCCAAATTTGAGATATTTTCAGACTTTATTTCTTTACTTTTTCAACTCTTATATCTTTTGCTGCTCAATGGGACTCCAAGGATAAGAATGTTGGATCTTGTGTTATTGTCTCACAAATCCCTGAAGATGTGCTCATTTTTGTTGCTGTTGTTGTTGTTTAGCCTATATTCTCTGTTGTTCAGATTGGCTGAGTCCTGTTGTTCTGCCCTCAAACTCAGATCTATCTGCCATCATCTCCACTTTACTATTGAGCCCATCCATTGAGTTTTTAAAACTTATTGTATTTTTCAATTCTATAGTTTCCATTTGTTTTTTAATTCTAACTTCTGTTTCTTTTCTAAGGTTTTCTGTTTCTCATTTCAAGATATATCATAATTATTAGTTAACACATTTTTATGATGGTTACTTTAAAATCCTTGTGAGATAATTCCAACATTTTATTAATTTCACTGTTAGCATTAGTTGATTATCTTTTTGCATTCAGGTTGCAGTTCTCCCTGGTTCTAGATATGATGATGATTTTTTATTGTTATTTTGAACATTTTGGCTACTGTATATGAAGACTCTGTTTAAATTCTTTTATTTAAATTATTTTATTTTAACAGAAAGACACCCTGTTTAGGGTTGGCATGCAAGCCCTAGTCTTCTTTAACAATTCAGTTACACGTAATCTTAGCCAAAAGACTGAGAAGTGATAATGATTCAAATAAAGTCTAGTTTTCAGAAACTATGTGGTGCTATGTTGGTCCGTTTGGTTTATTTCATGTCACTGGGACTTTACTGGTCCCCAGTGATGCCACTTGAGAAATCTGAAGGAGCTTACCAGCCAGACTGCCTTTTCCTGCTAGACTGGTGAAAGGATTCTTGGGCCCATGAGACAAAACAGTGCTTCCTGAGCTGAGAGCTTGTAGTGGTGTGTTACCCCCTGCGTATGAAGGACAGAGAGGGTTTTCCAGGGAGAGTGTTTGTTGGGGCGTGATCCCCTATGTTGGTGCCCTCCAGCTGCACAGAGTCTTCAGATGGGAGAGGAGAATCTCAAGCCTGGCTAAAGAGATGAGAAACTCCTGGTCTGGGTACTTGTTGTGGTGCTAACCACCTTGCCATATCTCCTGGAAGCATGGTTTTTCTGGGGGGGAGATCAGAGTCATAGGACCAGTGGCAAAAGGGAATACCTTCTTTAGCTGCTTATTAACAGTAGCACTTCCAGTTGATCCCTCTTGCTGGTTCTACTGGATGCACCTGGTGTTGTCAGAGGCCCTCTCATTGGATATCCGGTAAGAATGAATTTATCTGGGATACCCTTTGTTGCTAGTTTGGAAACCAAGAAACACTAGGCCTACCTTCTTCTGGTGGCTGTGGGCTTACACGATGTCCTGCTATTGTGCTGCTCTCTAGCCCTGGGATCTCTCACCAATTCAACTTCCTCTTCCAATTTTTAAAGTTCTTTGATTGTCTGTTGGTTTGTTTCCAGAGTTTATAGTTATATTTAGTGCAGAGGAGCAGGGAGAACCAAGTCATCATGTCATAATGGGGAGTTCCATTATTACACATACAAATTAAAAATTTGATGGTCAAGTTTGGTGTGCCCTTACACATATACTATCTTTCTTCAGACTATGTGCAGAAATGTTCCACAGTTATGTAAGTAAGGCTTGGAACAGAGAGTGGGTAATTGTAATCCCTAAATGTCAGGAACATTCAGATGGTATCACTTGCAACTGTGTCCCTCTGGGTGAAGATTTATAAGATCCAGAAGTTTGCAGTGGGACCTGGAAAATGTTGTTATTTCACTGTAGTGCATTCTGACTCTAGTACATACCTTCTGATTCCTTTAGATCAGGGTATTTTATTTGTTTTACCTATATACTTAGTCAAAGCCAAAAATGGTAGCAAGTGAAAAATTCTTGAAGATTTTAGAGACCATTCAATGTCATTTTGTAGATAAGAAAAATTGAGGCCAAGGAGTTTTATCAGCTTTCTTCAGTAGAGCCAAACAGCAAGGGAACAGGATTCAATCTCAAGTTTTATGACTTTTGTTTAGTGCTTTTCTTAATTTATCATGGAAATAAATAATAATGATTCAATGCACTTTCACTATCAAATGTATTATACTAACTTCTTCACAATCTTCTTCTGTACACATTTAATTTGCCTGCATATTTGGTTCTCTTGTGCCCTATAAAAAGCATACCTATTCTGTTATTTATGAGTAAAGCATAAACAAAAATTTTAAATGATGCCCAGTAATAAGAGATAATTTCTTAGTTTCCACCACTCATCCCAAGTAGTTTCCAGTCTGGTGAGAGATGCAGACATGTAAACTCACTATAATGTAAGACCTTGTGAAGTAACTGGTTAAAAAAAAGAGTTGTCAAACAAAGTATTGTCAAAGAAGATTGGAAAAGTGGTAAAAATCCTAGGAGTTCAGGGCCAAGGAACTAAAAGATGTCCTAATGGTTGAATAAGAATTAAACAGTTGGAGTAGAGCAAAGGCATCCCAGGCTGAAAAAAATGGAATGAAAAACATGGAAGCAAGAAACTTTATCCCAGCTTTTTTCTAAGGACATGAAGCCTCGCTCTGGTTCTAAACCCAGTAGGTCTAAAATGGACTTGATCATCTTCTCAACAACCCTCAAATGTGTTTCTTCCTTTTTTCCTTCAACAATATTCAGTCTCTTTGTCTGGAAACTTGGTAATCTGTCTAAATGCAGTTCACACCCTTCTATTTTTGTTTTTCATCAGGTGACCACAAAACTCTTGCTAGGTCTCCTTCTCCCTATGATGTGTCTCCTGGATACTGTCATTGTTCTCCCTTTATTCAGTCCTAGTCTAGGCCCTTGTTATTGTTCATACAAAATAATGTACTTACTGCCCAAATAGTTTCTTCAACTCAAATCCCTCACTTTTTCAAGATCATCTTACTTGATTCTCCTTTGCCAGATTTACTTTTTGGAAAACAAGTGGCATTATATCATTTTCCTCATCAAAATCTTTGTTATTGATTTATTCATTTATTCACAATTGTTTAATTACATACTATATGCCAGACGTTGTGTATTAATTACCTACTGAATAAAATCCAAACACATGGATCAGCCTATGTCATCTGACCCCAGACTCCCACCGATGTTCTGGATTCCATCTCTTCTGACTCCTCCTGGACTTTGTTCCCTTGGTTCTTCCTTCCCTTCATTTCCAAGCATTTTTACTTATAAACACACTCATGTCTCATCATTCAAAAATAACCTCTACACACACACACACACACACACACACACACTCTCTCTCTCTCTCTCTCTCTCCCCAAGTTTTATCACTATCTACCTTCTTGAAATATTAGTCTTCTTGTTTCTATTTCCTCCATACAAGTTCCACATTTTTCAAATTTCCAGTATATATCAGTGAAAGTTTTTTAGCAGTGATGTGACATAATTAGACATGTATTTTATAGACTATATATCTATACTATTAGAGACAGATTGAATAGGAGAAAGGATGCAAGTCTATTTCAATAACTATTGCAATTGGCAAGTTACATCTCTAGGCAAGAGATGATGGTGGCATGAATTTGGGTGGTAGTTGTGGGGGTAGAGACAGAATGTAATGATTTAAAAAAATTGAAAAAGATAAAAATCCAAAGAAATTGGCTATTGACCGGATATTATAGAAAGGAAAAGGAACAGTCAGGGATGTCCTCCGGTAGTCTAGCATGAATAAGTCAGAGGAAAATCATTTGATATCGTAAAACCCTAGAAAATTAGCAAGGTGAGCTTTAGATATTACATATTAAGTCAGGATGCAAATGAGACATATCAAGGAAGATGTTGAGTAATGCAATATGTGTGAGTCTCACACTTGTGGTTGATTGGAAAAATGACCAAAAATTATAGCTCCCCATCCATGACCTTTGGTAGTACTCAGCTGTACTCACTTTAGGCCGGCATTGATTTGGCCAATGGCACATTAGCAAGCATGATCCCAGCAGAAGTTTGAAAACCTCACATACAACGATGCTGACCCTCTTGCTATCCTTAGGAACTTTGTGATTGACCATAATATGATAAAACCCAGGATATCTTGCTGAATGATGAACCACTGGTTCAATCATCCCCATTGCTTGAGCCCACAGCATGTCAGGCATGAGATTGAAGCAATCCTAGTTCCTCCAGCCTCATCAAGCTTCCTGCTGACAATAGTCACTAGCTCAGCAAAATTAGCTGAACTGATCCAGAAAAAACAATCACCCAGAAGGCCTACGGAATCCTATGCTAAATAAGCAGAAATTATTTTAAGCCAATATATTTTGTAATGATTTGTTATGCAGCAAATGCTAATTGACACAACCTTCTGGGGATATGGTAATAGTAGTTAAGATATAAAGAGCTCATTCTGTGTTAGCATAGTGTTGAACATATTACATGGGTAAACTAAACAACGTAAGTAAAACTTTCACATAAATAGAAGTTTGACGATGTTAAAGTATAAAAATAAAGAGTTAAGTTATTCATTTTATGAAGTTTAAAGGTATTAGTATTTAAAGAAGAGGAATTAAGTATTTACTCAAAGCTACTCAGTTACTACATGACAGAATTGGAAGAAATATGAGGATATCTAAACTATAAACTTTCTAAGTCGACAAATTGTGGAATTTCAAGAGTATATAGCTTTGGGTTTACTGGACACTCTGAAGTTATTGGTTATGGTAAAATGTTACTTTAGTTTGCAGCCTTTTAGACCTTTGGTTATTTGTATTAAATGTTCCACAGTGTCTGCCAAGGTATATTTTCTACCTTGGTATTCTTCAAAATGCTAATTCTATGCTTTATGCATGCTTCATGGGCAACAAGAAAAATTTATAGCCTTCAGATAAAATTATAGGTGTGAAACATTCCACACATAGCAATAATTTACCATATCATTTGACTTTTTTTCTTAAAATATTGCATTCATGGAATTTTAAGTTACCAAATCAACAGGTTTTCTTAGTAAGAAGAATTATTTCATAACTGTCTTTTAAAAGGTTTTTTTTTTTAAGAAAAATAAATACAACCTGAACTTGTGAGATGAAGGTAATAATGGTTGTGCAG